TTTTGAATGTCAAAAATTTGTAAAACGTATTTTGAGAACCATGAAGCGATCTACGCCTTATATTGTCCGACCAAACTGAAAATAGCTTCCTTTCTTTTTAAATCCGAGAGGGATGTTTCACTTGCCTCAAAGTTTCGTTCCCCATTCAGCAGGTAGTATGTAACAATGATCATTTGTCTTAGCGGTAGAATATTCTTTCAAAAACTCTTATTTTAAACAGGCCAAATATCATGTAGCTTCATTATTTTCTAATGACAATGTCGCTTCCTTCAGCTACCTTGAACATGTTCACGGCAATTGGCCAAACCTTCCTGGTTATTTTTCAGTTTAACTGGGCTGAGCAGTCGTTATTTCACCGTTTAGAGATGGAACCGATCACTCATCATAACATGATTATCGGAAGACGCAGGCTAATACATTCAAACTAAAAACTATACTTCACTGAATACTGAAGCATCCATTTCACCAGTGGTTCACTATGTTGGGGTATCACAAGTTACTACATAAAACACTTTCCGGAGGATATGCTTACTGTTGAATGTACTCCAGAGAGCATGAATAGGGCACGGCTCGCAGCTGTGCCCTGAGCAAATAAGTACCATTCCACTTTCTCATGCCCAGCTACTCCAAAGGACAGCGATACTTTCTTGCTCCAAGAACAGAATCACGTAACTTGAACTAAGTGACAAAAAACAAGCGGGAAATAATTCCAAGTGTACACCGATAAGACTGATGGGAAATCACTCGTTGTTGAAATTCCTATCGTCCAAACGACATGCGATAAATGAGTGTAAGACATCACTTCGTATTCAATGAATCCCTAAAGGCCGCTCCGTAATCAGGAGGCCGTGAACGGTAAGTTTTGTGGACTGTATTTGATTGCAATGCGACGGAGGTGACTCGCGCATTCGTTTGAGGCAGCGAAACAACGCTATGCTGCATCGACCATCATGTTTGTGGATGAAATAGTTTTACAAATATTACCGAAATAATTTTGCGATATGGAAGTTTTATATTGAGACATCTGAAGAAGTATTACCAGTAGAAATAGGTTATTTCTTCAAGAAAGCGTTTTTATTTGTACATTTCTCCACTCCGAAGTGCACGTCATCGTGTTCCTTCACATTTCCCTCTGTATCCCTTGTGGGAAAAATAATGCGTACATGCGATTAGGATGTGTCCAGAGGCAGTAATAATATACCTTAGGGGAATTTTATTACTTTCTTGAGATTCCGCGGTTTCGAGGCATATTTTCTGCTCTGTTGGGCTGATCGTAGATGATTGCTGTAAATGTATTTAAAGAAAGTCAGGATTTGGTGCTTAGTCTTCCAACCGCTTTTTTGTGAAATCGTTCATCAGGCTTTCGTTCCTGTACCGTAGAAGTGGCTGAAGTGACTAGCCAATTTTCGCAGAAAAATCGAAAGTGGAGTGAAATTTGCGAGCTTTTTCAGTTTTCCCTCGTGTAGAGCCACGCTTTGCCATTGATAAACGGTTTTTCATGAAGAAATAAGTGGCTAACGGACAAACCTTGGAAATCCAGAAGCCTCCTTACACAGCCTCTAAACACCTGAAGGTTTCGCACATTTGATATGATCTGAAGCCTTTGTGCCGTCTGTAGCAAATATCACCAAAACAAAACTTATAGGAATGCTGGTCAAATAATTTGAATACGGATCACCAATTTACCTCTCCAATTAAAATGTTTTAGGGCATTCCACCCTGCTTGTTGCCTACAGACACGTTACACCCTATTTGAGCTGAGGCTGTGGCGTATGACATTTATACCCCAAAATAATATACCTTTGTATTGGCAAGGTCTCTGTGCCCACTCCTCATTTCCGTCACTGTTTCTCAGTATGGTATCCACGCGGATATCTTTCAAGCTAGTGAAGAGCCGGTCGATCTGATAAGCAAGGTGACCATCATTCAAATACCACGTTAGCAGATGCTAACTGTCCAGTTAGAATGCACATTGCTTATGATGAATCGAAGTCGATAATTTGTCTTGGATCAAACTGACCAACAATATGCCGAGTAAAGTCATCAGCCCACATGGACGTTTGAGCCACCGGCTTTAAATGACGTAGCTAGTGTAAGTCGTTCATCGGTCACAACTTTCATTTCGTTGTGTTAGTTTTCCTAAAAATTGGAACACATTGAGGAAATGAATATATGAACAGTAACTTTAAATCACTGTACTCATGTTGCGTTCACTGCGCTGCTTCCAGAGCCGTGACCTAATCTTGTGTAAAAAATAGTTTCAAGAAATGATCATGCTGGGCCTCATTTACTCCAAATAAGAGCGCTCCTTAACTTATTGAATTATCAGCTCAACCAGTATAATTGGGTCACTATTAAAAGTTCCTTCCATGCACTTGAATTTGTGAAATTTTCTGGTTTTTCAGCGGTTTGATTACTGATAACCGCAAATTACTGGGCAGGCACAGGTGAAAACCAGGTGGGATTACCCCCACAAAAGTAATCACTGAACACATGTTGAACATTCCAGTGACTTATTTGTGCTGCCTTTCCTGTGTTAAGATCTTTGCCTGGCTGCTGGCAATCTCCGTAGCTGAGCTAGCTCCTGATGCGTTTTCCGTCGATCTTTGTTTCTTTCATCTTTTGTCACAATCTGTGACTTTTAGGGAAGCGGTAGATTTTTTAATAACGAAGGATTAGTCCTTTCATAAAGGTTGCTAGATTTGAGACGTGGTCTCACTCAGGAAGACTGTTGAACCGGCTCGTTTCCTTACCTCTGTCGACTTAAGCTCTCTAGCTCCATAGAGAAAAATAAACTACGATTCAGCGCCCAAAACTCATTGTAAGCTTTTACTATGTAGATGCGTCCATCAATCATAGAATTTCAGTGATACTTACGAATCTTAATGTTTACCCGCAGGTTTATTGGGCTTCTTTTATGGGTTACAAAGCATGGTCATATTAGTTTTTGAGGACAGTACCTGAAGGTTGGGGACAAGTCGTATCATGAAAATTACAAATATGTAATTGAGCACTTGGTTTTCAAGCTTAGTCCCATGGATGATAGGGAGTTACTGACTGCGAATTTGAAATTTTTTAAGGAAACAAACCAATGATGCTCTGCGTTAAAGGTGCCATTAAACCAGCTGTATGCGTTTCGTTGCTTGTTGCTTTGTGTACAACTAAACGAATAGATAATAGACCCACTGAACAAGCTTCATTCTTTTAGAACTTCAGCATATGATGTTTGGTGACACCATACATAGCTTAAAGGCTTCCTCACCCCACGAAAACGGTACCTATAGCTCACATCGATTCCTTCTTGTAAATCCTTTTGGGAACTATTGTTCCTTCGAGTATTGGGTTTCACTAGGTCCACGAAACTTGCCTAAATCCGTAAATTGTCGGTATCCTCTTGAACCAATCAGATCTGCCGCCTGTCAGAACGCGGTTTTGATGTTTACATCTAAACACCGTAGCAGTGGTAAACGCACCCACAGAAAGGAACACACGTGAATAGTGGACAGGACATTGCTGTGAACCCTGTTAGTTTCCTACTGGTGTTTGAGTTTTTTGGACTACCGCTTTCATGAATCTTGATTCACTAATTGCTGATAACCTGAATGGCACTCAGAAAATCGCCTCTGATGCTTAGTGTTGATTGCTACCGGCTTAAGTTTAGAAAACGTGTTAACTTCACAGGTGCTCGAAAATCTTCAAAAGAAGGACAGAATTGGTTTTAAAGAAACGGAAGACCTGATCAAGTCAAACGTTTTTCAAACGTATATCAGGAATCAACTCAAAGTACTGTCGGTCGAAAGAGCTACTTTGGAATTTAGACGATTGTGGGGCAGTAACTTCCCTTAGGATCATCCACATAGTGAGCCATACGTTTGGCAGTTTCGGCCGTTAACTTGCCGGCGATCATCATCAATTTTACATTTGCATTTTGAGTCGCCGCTGTTTCATGTCACGCAATCTGAAGGCATCTTATTTAAATTCCCTACCATCAGCACTATTGGGAATCTCTTTAGAATTGCCCTCTAGTCCTATTTTGAACTTCCCTCTTTGCATTTAATCTGACAGCGCTTGTAATCCATAACCAGAGGGAAAAGTAACAAAACATTATCCAGCTGATTTTTTACACAATCAGCTAAATGATCTCATAGTGCTGTTCAGTCAGTTTGAGAGGGATTGCTGCTTACATTTCAAACACTCTTCAGGCTTTTTATACTTGAAGCAGTCTTTTGGGTTATGTACATTATTATGTCTGGAAAGAATGCCCCCAAACCCGAATACATTTGACAGTCTTAATAGCATACTTCCTAACAAAGCATAGAATAAATCTTGCATTTCCTAACGATTCCTCGTGAGAGGGTGTGCACTATTCGGTGAATAGTTGCAAAATGTCATACATTCTTCTAAATGAATGGTACATCTCAGGGAAATATTGTGTCACGCTTTTATCTATGAAGAAACTGAAGATAATCCGACACTTAATTGTCTTACTGGTTGGTAAAGTAGGAAAACGGTGGTGGACCCAGTTACTCTTTCGGATTTTAAAACTCATTTCCTCTGCTCCAACTATCTATCTACTCACTAAATTGTTATAACTGGTCATTTGGCATGCAAGCACTTTAATTCTTGTGAAAGTTTTGTTACAAAGTTTAGTTGGAGCCTTTATCTTTGTGTGTGACGCACCGTTAGGTGAAATTTCCTCTGCAACATGGATAAAATGGTGTCTTCATAAGTGCCGCGAGTGTGCACTTCAGATTCCTCATTCAGTCAGAAGCCAATTATCATTCCGTAAGTATTTTTTACTTTAAACACTGTGATATGTTGGTAATGTGTTGGAATATTGGTAGCTCGGGTGTATTGGTTGGTAATTGATCAGGTGGCTGTTGATCTGTTCGCCCAGCTTGGCAATTGGTTTGCTCAGCCTCTGTTTGACCACGTACTTCGAATTCAACGGTGAATACTACGAACAATTGAAAGCAGCACCAATGGGTTCCCAATTTCAGGGTTCATCGCCGAGATCGCAATGCAAAAACTGGAGAGGACCGTGTTGCCGGACATCAGCCGGAAGCTTCGGGTACGTTCTGTAGACGACACTTTTGTCATCATCAAGAAGAGAGAACTACAACGAGCAATCCAATTGATAAAAAGTGTCTCCGATGACATCAAGTTCACCATGGAAGAAGAAAACAACAACAAGCTGGCGGTTTTAGATGTCCTCGTCACAAGGTTGTCGAATGGACAAATGCAAACGGAAGTCCACAGAAAAGCTACGCACACGGATCAAATTCTGAGCTACGACAGCAACCACCCAAAGTGCCACAAACAGAGCTGCATCCGGATACTATTGAAGCGAACTGAAACACACTGCAACACAGTAGAATCTAAAGTAAAAGAAGAGAAACGCCTATACAGAATCTTTCAAAGGAACGGTTACCCAAGGAATTTCATCTGGAGATCTCTGAGAAAATGCAATTCAACCAACGCGACAACCAGAAACACAAGCAAAACAATCACATTACCATATATCAAGAACATTTCGGAGATGACCGCCAGGATATTACGACAGCATGCCATAAAAGTGGCCCACAGACCGACTGACACGCTGCGAAGAGTATTATCAAAACCAAAGGGGACATTTAATGCGATAGAAAAGACAAATGTTATCTACAAAATTCAATGCAACGATTGTGAAAAACACTACGTGGGACAAACAGGGAGGAAACTGTTAACCAGAATCACCGAACACAAGCTCGTCACCAAGAGACATGAACAATTCTCTCTCATCTCTGCACACGAAGATGGGGAAGGACACCATTTCGACTGGAATAACGTCAGAATACTGGGCCAGGCAAGAACAAAGAAAGAACGCGAGTTTATGGAGGCGTGGTACTCCACTGGTGGAGCAATAAACAGACACATTGAGATTGATCCTGCCTACCAGCCTCTGAGGACAAAGGAAACCCAGAACCACAGAACGCGAGGCCGAACAAGGACTCAAAGAAGAAATCAATAGAACGGCAGGCTACTAAAAATAGGGGGCACGCCACAAACCAACAGAGAAGCCGACCACGACGCAATACAGATCAAGAACGGGCCAATCAGAATCCAGGTTACAGCGCAAAGGCTGCTCTCTGTAGACTATATAAGCGCGGGCACGAAGAGAGGAACTACCCAACCAACAGCGCACTGAAGATGTCTCCTCGAATGGTGACGAAACGTTTGCAAACCAATGGCCAAGCTCTGCGAACAGATCAACAGCCACCTGATCAATTACCAACTGTGATATGTATTCCAACTTACTCTCTTAGGATCACTTCTAGCTTGTCTTCCAGGGAAGAGTTCAAAAGACAGCTGAAAATATTCGCTTTTGACTATGATCATCCCGTAGATGGCAGCTATTTTGAATGAAAGATGCTCGCAAAGCTGATTGTCAGTCAGTAATATTTACCCGACCATTGGCGCGCATTATCCAACCCATCTTTTGTTCTTCCAAAGAAAGATTGACCCGAAAATCTCCGTGATACCCAGGCACCTTCCCAACTCACTGAAGATTATTAGAATCAAAAGGCAGTGGAAACAATCACCTGTGATTCACTTTATTAACAGAGTTTTGGAGAAAAATTAATACGAAACGCACGGAGTGACTGCTACTAACAATGCAATTAATCAGTCAGGATGTGACAGCACCATATCTCACATATGCAAAAGCTCATCGGGGTTGTCTGCCATTATTGTAAAATTATATAGATTCATTGGATTCGTCTAGATGTTTGTCCGCTTAAATTGGCTGACCAGAGTAGTAAGTGTACAGAAGAGGGTTAACGAAACTTAAAATATAGAGCACTTTCGTGAAACAACCGAGTGAAACAGACTGGAAAATGAATGATGAATGATTTTTCAAGAAACAACCCAATCGACCTCCTGGGTTCCGGAGGTGATAGGTTTAAACGATAAATATGACTAATCCATTCATCCTAAACTACTTTGCTGTTGTAGTTCACTTCCAAATCGCCTCTGCCCTTATTTCTTCACATTTTGGTTGCGTTGTACTCTGACATAATCAGGCTGAAACCTCACGTCGTTTTTCCCAAAATGAAGAGAGATTTTTCACTTGATGTGCTCGCTGCATATTCTGATGGATCAGACTCACTCCCCAATGGGAAAAAATGCAATAAAACGGCCCATTGGTTGGTCCACGTCCAAATAACCAGTGTTGGTGGTTGATACTCATTCGAATGAGGACGTCTAGGCTAATTCATTTTGTACTAACAAACGTTGTTGTGTTAGCGCCTCAGCATACTGATCTAGAGTGCTAATCGAAAAAGGTTTTACTGTTTAGTTTTCAATCCGCCTTAAAAATAGGCACACCTAGTTACCTACTCTATCAGCCTTAGAAAGCTTGTTTATCAAAAGCAAAACGTTATCTAGCTATTATTCCACCGAACGATTTCCAAACCTTCCCGAAAGTTTGCATTATTTATACCGAGAAACTGAGAAATATATGTAACTAAATGCCCCGGTGTTTCCAATGTAAACATGGGAATGAGTCTTTTTGGTTTTCAGCGAAAATGTGATTAAGCACGCCAAAAACTTTTAGGTGGGTGTTCTTCCCCATTCACTGCACCTCATGGGTTTTTACTGTGCTTCGATTGGAGGCCTGACTGTATTTTATCAATGAAACAAAAATGGTTTTGCTTTGCCTCAGTTTAAATAATGCCGAGTCCATCAAACTCATGAGAACGAAGAAGGTAGCGAACAAAGCTTGTTTTCTGTGATTGTTCATCTTGGCTAATACATCACAAATTTATATGGTAGCAGAAATCACGTGGAAAAGGTTAAGATCGGGGCTACACTTTAGAAAAATAGAAGTCAAAGGAAGGGGGTTGGGTGAGGGGTAGGTCAATGGGTCATGACGTCAATGTCAGACAGACTTGTGGGACCAGATGTTTCGTAGGCCAGTTCAAGTTCAGAGGTCGCACAAGTTTCTTTTGGATGCAAAATTCATTTATATTTTCCTTTATCTGGCATTATAATAATGTCTAATATACGTTATCCTTTGATACCAATAAACAAAAGGCGATTTGACATTCGTTTTTACTTAGGATGAGGATGCAAGTATGGCCGATTTGGTCAAGTGGACACTCGTGTTAAAAACAGCCAATCGTAAGTTGAAAAGCGTTTAGTCCCCAATGAGCAAGTTTTCCTGCACCGACTAGGCAGGTATTGATACCGTAATATACAAAATGACAAAACGTGTTGTAGAAACAATGACTCACATTATACAATGTGAAAAGTAATCCCATGCCCTAAAAGACGGCAACGAAAGTAGTTTATTACCCTAGTTTGAACTTGAAACTATTTTTAATGTGAGTTGGTACATTCTACGTTCAGCCTAATCACTGTTACAAATGTTGAGCAACTTGTCTAGTAGAGGGCAAACAAACCGTACATCCGATGTGTAGGATTACGTGTGAGATACAGGCAGACATTCTCAGAGTCGGAAAAGGCTAAATCCGTCTCTCAACGTATCCTTTTGAGTCCAACTTTTTTTTAAATGAACAACGCATACAGTCCTTGCTTTCAGAAATTCAGTGTTAACCGATATTTCGATTATTTTTGTAGTCTTCTCTTGAAGATTACACATCTCGCATCAATACCTTACACTTATTCAGGGAAAATAGGAGACTCCGTTTGCGGAATTCGACATTGAAGACGGTCAATTTTAGTTTAACTCTCGCTTTGGTGAGTCCATTTCTGAGTGAATTCTAGGGCTTAACGAGGAGGGAACGTCTTTTCCCAGTCCTGAATTCCTTTTTATTACGAGAGATGGATTTCTCCTCAAAACAGGCGCATGGCAGAAAACGCCGTTTGCTTGCTATGACAAGACTGTTTGTGTGATTGCTAGGGGAGACATAATTTGGCCGTCCGGCCACTATAGCAGTTTGGTAGGTGTCGTGTTCACTCATTAGTAGCGTTGCGCAGCTCTATATATCTGTCAAAATGATCTCAGTCCTACCAATAGTACTTGTGTTCAGCGCTATCCATATTCTTCCGTATCCGTTCAACGTAGCTAGACTTTTGAGATTGAAGCGATCATGAGTCTGTCCCATCAATTAAATAATGAAGGCGGGAATACCGTGAATTTTTCGCAGCTGGTCGTTGCTCATCACTTTTGCTGATTGTAAGATCTCACCTGAAATTGTGGGCAGCATTTCGCCCCTTCAAGTGGACCGCATTGGGATGGTAAATATGGTACAAATAGAGTTCTATAAACGAATTTCTTAGACTGCGCACATCAAACATTAAAGAGCAAACGATCGATCATGTCGCCAACAGGATTGGTGGATGGAATACCTATGCACCACTTGTTTCGAAAACGAGCTGTCTGGAGTCAACCTTTGAAATCATGGATTTTCTAGCAGAGAAAAAATTTACACTGAAAATTGAAAGTCATGCAGAGGTAGCATTTAGCTACACGATATCTTAACAACTGTCATCTCTTATTTGACCGGAAATTCCTGTTGCTATGAACGTTATTTTATTAAGGTCATCATCACGGATTCAAAAAGTTCGGACATAAATTTCAATCCATTCTGTTTTTTCATTGCATTTGCTCTGAACTAACCCAGTCGAAACTTCGGCCTGTTTGATTGTCATCTCCTCTGTTGCTGAAAATAGAAAACCTAGAACCAGGAGGTACAACCTTTCGCCTTGAAAAATTGGTTTCCGACGAAGGTGCCACTTCAACCGATTTTCTGGGTGCACACTCTTCGGACAGGAGTAATATTTAGCACTTATTATTCAACTACATGGCAAACTAGTGTAAACCACTCCTAACTAATTACCTATCACTAATCACCCAAAAATCGGAACCAAGTATAAGTGCAATGCATTTGTTAATGAGTGTTCCAGTAGGATTGAAGGACTGTACTACACCTAAATCGCGTGTATTAGACGGCGTGAGACTGGCGGTTGGCGTGTTTTGTCAATTTTCCATTGACATTAGCACACAAGAAGAATACTATTCTTATTTGCTAAAAGAAAAATATTACTTTTTGTGCACGACCAAAGTAGTGGCATGTAGCCGCAAAAATAAAACATCAGGTGCGTGAAACCCGAAATAAAACATTTTATAAAACTTGGCGTTTTTATCAATGGAAAAAAGTTAAATGATGTTTGTCCAATCATAAAACAAACTGGGCACATGCGACACGTGCGCTCTAATTTAACTTTTATTTATTTGCGTGTAACCGACCATCACGTTAGTATAAGGGTATTCGATCGTCCGTGAGTAATGAACACCAGAGATCAATGTACTCACGTTTTCAGCCACCAATTAAAACCTACTTAACCAATTGCGGCGAAACGCTGTCGTTAGTTGACAAAATACATACCTTCCAGTAAGGTCCTCTGGAGAAAAGAGAATATGCCAGTATTGGAAATCTGGAGCAGACGAAAATGTGTAGGACCCCCCTTCCAGGGTACTGTGCAAATGGGATGGCTTCAAATGACATAATTCGCTCATTTCGCCTCAGCATCTCTATGATTTGGTCTGCGACGTTTGATGTAGGTGACCTCTTGACATGATAACAATTTTCACTGCTCTGACTATGGAGTAATCACTCATCTGGATTCAGAACTTGAAAATGTTTATTTTGGTACACTTTATCTCCTCCATTTTGGCACAGCGCTGCTTAGTCGGAGTGATAGTAGGAATGTAGATTTGTCGGTCCGGTTAAGTTTCCGGAAAGAGCAAAAGCTTTGTTGTGTCTCTTCGGAAAATTCCGCCTCCATCTTGAGCGTGACGACCAGTGACTCTGATAAAATCTCCGATACAATAGATTTTTTTCACTGCCTGTATCCCATTTGAAAGTGCTGTTCAGTCTGAAATGCACCTTCAATTTGCTTCATCACTATTTGGGAGAGAATCAGGTCAGTTGTAGCATGAATCGGTGGAATTAAATGAAAATTTATTCTCACGCACAACATAGCTCTCACAGACGACAGTGTACATACCAAATGGATTTGTAGCCGTCCGTCATCGCCCGTTTGTCACGCCCCCTTACTTAATTAACCCATTCAAACCAAAGGGGCAAATCAACAAGAAATATTGGCAATGTACGTGGGCATCCTTTGTCGCAGTGCCCCCAATATTTGTTGCATTTACGCCATCTCTGAGGTGTATTTCTCTGAATGTTACTTGTCAACCACCAGCTCACCACATGCATTCATTCTCTATCATTACATGTGAACATTTTGTCGAAAGGTGACCAAAATTTTATTTCACTACATGCTGTACACATTTACCTAAGGATTGCTCGACCTCACTAGCTTCAAGGAAGATAAGCAACAACATGATATTAGTATGTGGCATATGTGTTTCG